CTTTCAACACTCCTTGGGACTCTCGCCCAAATCAAAAAAGCCCTGAAACCTCACGTTCTGACAAGCTCCGCGCCAATCGGGAAAAGGTTTAGCCGTGGCGAGAAGATACCGGCCCGCCCGGTATCGAAGCACCAACGAGTGAAATGGCGGAAGCGGCGGCTCAACGCTACTGACGTTTAGGTAACAAGAGCGAGAGGCTAGTGAGACGGGAGACAGGACAATGGGAAAGGCAAAACTTTGGAAAAGGACACCGGAAAGGCTCAGGCCAAAAGGGACAAGTAAAGAACAACTGCCTGTAAAGGAGAAAGGCACCGGTAGAAAAGGTTGGTGAACATATCTGCCTACCAGGACCCACAGTTGGGGTAATTAGGACCCACAGTTGGGGTAATTAATAAGTAGTTTTTGGACTTGAATCACCTCTTTTTGGGGCGGTGCTATATTGACAAGCGCCATTAACCACCCCTGCCCGGGAAAACCTCCAAACATACCCAAGCACTGGGCAACCTTTGTGGCCAAAATCAATGTTTTAAGTTTGCATCGGATGGGATTGGAAGTATTTTTGGATGGTTCATTGTATTTGTTGATTGATTCCAAACACCTTCCTTATCCCTTCTCCCAAATACAGCCAAGTTCGTCATCTCGTCGTCACTTCACCTCCATGCTCTGTCCACTTGCCAAAGCCTCAGCCGCGCCCGCTCTCACCAGTCTCCCTAGGTATTTCGCGCTCTCCCGTACGCTGCCATTTGCCGATAGCAGTGTGGCACGCGTGCTGGCACGCACCGTACGTGCCTCGGTGTCGATAGCCGGGTTGAACCCCTCCGCGCTGCGGGAACACCAAGATCGGTGCGGAACTTCCCAGCAGCAGAAGAACGTGTGTGGCGGAAGAACGTGTGGAGCTGAAAGATTGGAACAAAGTGGAATTGGACGAAAAAGGGGGTGCGATGAGCAGGTTGAATGAGTTCAACTGGGTCATCGCATTGAACGAACTATATATTCATCCATTTTGTCTCAACCAGTCGGGCATGACCAACTCTGAAGATATGTATGATGTTGGCATACGTTGGCCCTCCTGGACCAGTGAGGGTTCCTGGTCAGAATCATAGACCCACAACATGCTGACGGATGGTTTTGGGTTCACACTTGGAGCCTCCTCCAGGGTCGACATATATCTCAATACCTTCCAGTTCGCAGTTTGGAATCAGTGTTGGGGATGAACGGATATGCTAAATACCTGGCAAGTTGAAGATAGAACCTGAAAATGGAAGACGATTTGCAAGACCGGATGATTTTCAGGTTCTATATGTTTACCTGGTGTACCCCCCCGGTCAACAGGAGGATGGGACCATAAATGGTCAGAATCTGGGTCACAACCTATTGACCGTCCATTCTAGCTCCCAACCCCTTACTTCACAAGAAGTGTGAAGGAATGAAGGGAAAGACCATGGGAAGATCGATCAGTTGATCAACATGTTGATCAAGCTGGAAACCATCCACTTGGTATGTTTGTTGGCTTTATAATGGTATTGATGGGGTTATGATGGGTTTAGGGATGAGTTTAGGGTTCTAAGACTGTTTTGGTTCGCGCCTTCACTCTGATCATCTGTGATCCCTTCACAAGAATTCTGTGACTTTGAACTCATAGTTTGGGTGTGACCCAGGTCGGTAAACCATGATCACCATTTTAGAGGAAGGCCTGCAACTGAACCATCATCATCCACTGGGCCCAGGGAATAGGATACACCATGACACACCCAATTCACACCTAGCGCTTCCAAAGGGTGCCCAATGGAGACCTGTGAGTAGTGTGGAGATATCCATTGGTGACCCCTTGGAAGCAGCTGGTATAGTGTTTTGTTTCTCCCAACAAAAACTTGAACAAGTCGTCTGTCAAACACGGCGGTCTTCAGCTTCAGCGGCCCTGCCGTGAAACGGGGAAACCGTTTTGGGGTTTCCAGACACCTCCCAACAGAAGAGACGTTTTTTTCTGTTCTCGCGGTGATCGCCGCGGCCCAAGGATGTAAAGTACACTGGCCAAAGGAGAAGTTTGAACAGTGCTCCGGAGGCTCGTTGACCGTTTCTCCGAGCGGCGGTGATTGGCGAAAAGTCGAGTCCGACGGACGTCTGAGCGGCGAGCGTTGCAGATTTGGCCGCTTCCGCCCGGTGGCACAGATGTAGCACATGAAAAGGATCCCAAAAAGCACTCCGTCAGGGCCAGTGATGGCAGTCCCCAAACGGGGCGCATTTGGGTTGTGTGTTTGGACAGACCACTGGAGCCCAAGTCGGGATAGCGGATAGAGAGACGGCTTGGACCATTGGTCGCATCCCAACATCCGGGACATTTGTCCTTCATGCTCGGCAACGAAGTCGTTTGCGACCGAAAAGAAATGCTATGAGTTTGTGTCAATTAGGTCAAAACATGTCCAGCACCTACACCATCTACCAGCACCCGACCTCATAGGTCACCTCTCATTTCAGCCACCATTTCGGAGACCTGCAGAATCGGGTGCTGGTCTACCAGCATGGAGATGATATATCGGAGGTGTGGCCGCAGACAGGACGTCCTGGCGCCCCATCTCTGGTCAGGCATCATCAAACTGATCAAAAGCTTGCTCGCCAAGGCCGGATCTGTGCTTCGGCGCGTCGACGCGCCAGACTCGACTCCGGGTTTGACGACATGGAAATGGACGAGAGAGAGAGGGTTGAGGAGATGAAACGGCTTCTTCCCATAGGTCCAGGAGCGTTTGACTGCTCCTATAGGGGTTTGTATATAGGTTTGTACTGTAAACCCATCCACCAATGGAATGCGGTCTATTTCCCTTCCTCCAAGGGGGTCGTTTATGAGGGTTATATACATCCATACACATCCAATTTCTAATGGCCCAGACCATCCACGTATGGAATATCTATGCCCCAGCCAGACCCCCAAACGCACCCCCCCTGGCCTTTTCTCGGCAGTCCTATGTCAGTCCCATGGATCGTGTTTGGGAATCCCAAACACTCCATGTATGCCATATATGCCCACATTGACCCCCCAAACCACCCCAATGTAGGTAAATATGGTATACATGGAGTGTCTGGGAATTGCTTCAGCGGCATGTGTTCACTTGGGCGCCCTCGACGTCGCGCCGCAGGACCCGGCGCAGCGGCCCTCGGCGGCGACCACGTTCGCGGCGATGTGGGCGTTGCTACGCCCCCGCGAGCGGCAGACGGACGCTCGGCGGACCGCCCCGCGGGCGTGGGTTTGGCGGGCGGAAAAACGACGTCGGGGGCCACAGGGACGGGGAATTCTGGCATTCACCCCAGCCATGGAGCATCTGAAAGAGTCATCCATGAGCCGGAGCCAATATCAATATGAATAGTGCCTTCTTCACCTTCAACTGGGGTGTAGAGAGTGTAGTCGCAAATGCGAAGTTCTGCCATGGATTGTTTGGGGATGTTTTCTTCAGAAGTCATATCCAAATCCTCCAAAAGTCGTCCTTGAGAGATAGAGAAAGATTTCTGCCTGGAGCCTCAGTTCGTACCTCAGAAAATGGGTACAAGTACCTGTTTTTAGTTCGGGCCATGTCCCATTTTCTCGAGGTTTCTGAAGTCGGGTCGAGGTGGTGAACTGTTTCGATCTTGCCGGCCAGTTCTAGTTTCAGGAGGTCTTCTCCCTGCATTCGCAATGTGAGAGTTTCCTACACCCCCCCCAGGGCCGTGGAGAACCTTTTACCTCTGGAAGTGGTTTTCCCCACTTCAAAAACAGGTGGAACGTTGGGTTAATTATCCCAGACGCTCCATGTATGCCATATATATATGCCTACATTGACCCCTCTGGCACCACCCCTGGCCTGATCGGCAGTCCTATGGCAGTCCCATGGGTCGCGTCTGGGTTATGCTTCACCCTTCGAGTTCCGAAGTCAGCTTAGCTAGAGTCCTATCCCTCACCTTCGCTGCGAGACGGAAGTCCCCAAAACCGCTGCATACCGCGGAGCGGAATTCGCCGACTCATACCGCGGAAGTCGGCACGAATTCAGTGGTGATCTGATGGGCCCAGACGCGACCCTGGCCCCTCATATGGAGGGGTCTCATTTTGAGGGACCAAAGGATGCACCATCCGCATCACGTGACGCTTCAGTGCCATCGTGTTCTGACCGACCAAACACGTCCGACGCGCGAACCTCCGCCACGTCCCACGCCGGGACGCCGAGGAAAGTGTGGTTCAGTCTCTGCAGGCGGTCCCAGGGCGGTCCTCGTCCAAGCCGCTGGGGCCACACATCTCGCCGGCGGACCACCGTCCGCGCATCCATCCGACGCGCCGGTCGGAGGGTACGGCGAGATCCGGTGGAAACGGAATCCGGTTTCACGGCCATTTGGCAACTACAGGCTGATCTCTCAAGGTGGTTGTGAGATGTTGTGAGGGGGAACCAAAACCGCTAAAGGATGCGACAATGAGCCGCCTTTGGCTCCCCACTCTATGGATCCACATACCTTCTGAGGTACGGTGAGCAGGGAGACTATTCATGTAGGCGCCAGGGTCGGGTCCAATTGCCTTCTGAGATAGGTATGATACCAGCACCTTCAAAGGGGTCACCAATGGAAGCCCCTACACTACCTAGGGATCTCCATTGGACATCCCTTTGAAGCTCCCGGTATGTGGAACCACAGGGCCAAATAGTGCCATCCACGTGGAATGTGAGTCGGCCCGTACATCCTTTGATCTCCAACGAAGCGGGCATCGGGGTCGTTTCCAATAGATTGTGTCGGGTTTTTGAAACTAAGTCGGTTGCTATAGCATGATCCAAATAGCTGCTTTGGTTCCTGAAGTCACCAGAAAGTTGCATGTGCAGAGTGAAACACTATACGCTGCCACTGACATCGATATAGGGCACAAAACCCTAGCATGCGAAGAAATAGACCGTGTAGAAGCAACTGGGAACTGCAACAGTGAAATCAATGTTAATCGCGCTGTTCTTCGCAAACAAAACAGCTTGAACAGGGTGTCGAACATGTCGTCCAGTGTTTCAACGTCGCCCCATGCGGCGCTTGTAGCGCCAAACGAGATGGTCCCAGCTGTTCCGCAGCGAGTCTGCGCAGCTGTTCCCCCGATGGCCGTTTCAGAGCGAGAGGTCTGATGAGAAGGCCTGCAAAAAGAAACACTCCATGTACCAGGGCCCTCCTGTTTGGGTCTCTAAACCCACCCCAGCCCCACCTTCTTAGAAGGTCCGACTGGAACCCTAGGGTAAATAGTCTATAGACTCTTAGATGCGATTCGGAGAGTCCAAAAACCACCGGACTTGGAAAGTCCTGGTATGGATGCCCTTGACGCTCCTAGAATACCACCCCTGGCCTGATCAGCCAAGATATGGCAGTTCCATACCAACACCCTCCAAGAGGTGTTGCTGTCCAGAAACCACCTGTACTGTTAGGGTTCCAAGGCAGCCTGCTGTTGGAGGGTCCTGGTAAGTACCACCATTTGAAATTAATGATGTAGGTTAGAGGTGCATGGAATTTCATTATCCTTAGGGCTCCAAATGCCTCCTCAGAAGGTATGACTAGACCCTCCTGCCACCCACATCAAAACAGGTTAGATCATCCACGCACCGAACCGCGGTAGCGTACTGAACCGCGGGCCGGCGCTCCGAGTATTTTGGACGATCAATCCCAAACACGACCTGATCTGGACGTGGGATCTGGCATAGTTTACATTGGACCCCGACTTCAACCTATACCTATACCTGCCAGCTGCTTCCTGTCGGGGTCACCTGGATGGATATCTCCACACTACTTACAGGTCTCCAGAAAGGGCACCCCGACAGGAAGCGCTAGGTGATCATAATCTGCCTGGGCCCCCACATTGGGGTGTCCAACAGAGCTCTTTTTCTCTCCAAACGGTGATTCGGGTTGTTCCAAGTCCCACCCCACCCCGCGCGCGGAGCACGAGCACGAGCACGAGCACCGAGGACGCGCCTCTCGTTCTCCTCGTCTCCTTGTTCTACTCACCGGCCCAGCGATCGATCCTGGGCGATCGAGAGGGCGGGGTTGGAGGAGGGCCGAGTTGGCCGGTTCGCAGGCGGTTTGGAGGGTTTGGTCCGTGTTTCAGGGGGGGGTCTCATGGTGGGTTTCAGGGGGGTTCAGGGCAATAGCCTACCTCACTTCCCTGAATTTGGCCTTCGCAGGCCAACCCCAAGAGCACACCTATATGACTGATTCTGCACTGAGGTAAGGGGTCACTTGGATTCGTCACGGGTAACGTCCAGAGACATCCGTTCGCTTGGTTCCGGCCATCCAGGACCCAGGACCGGGCCACCATAACTCATATCGCGGGGGGTTGGCTTCCCCCCTAAACAAGAACAGTTGAAAACAGGTTACAGTAATCAGCAACAACTTGATGTCCAGCAAAACTGAGGGAGCCAGCTTCAGAGCCAAAGACAGAAATGGCCGACGATGGCTCATATATGTCCGTAGATATTCGTAGATGCTCCTTGGCAGGAATTGACTGAATGGCAAAACTCACAAACATACCAGGACCATCCTCCAATGGACTCCCCCACACTACCTATAGGCTTCCAGACAGGGCACCCCTTGGATGGTCCAGGTATGTTATTTTATGTTTGTTTTGGAGCCTGACTGTATATAGGTCTCCGAGTTCTAGCTGAAATGCAGACAGCTAGTGAGCTGTGGAAGACAGCTGGTGAGCTCGCTGTCGGCTGTCGAGTCGTCGGGTGCTGGCAAGGATTAACCCAACTTCTTGCGTTTGGGAGCCCGTCTCCATCACACCAACTGGTCCTTCAGACGGTTTGTTTTTTGGTCGTCTTCTGTCGTCCATGTTCTCTTGATTCGGAATGGTTTGACTGTCAGCCGACTGACTATAGTGGGCTGGTGGGATTTCAGGGGTTCGTGTATCATCATTCCACGAGTCGTTTATTCATTCACGTCCTTTTTCTGCATGGTATATAATTTATAATATAATATATATATATATAATAACCATATATCTTCATGTTTAACTGTTTGAACCATCATGAACATGATGAAGATCTACCATTAAAGATAAATATCATGAATATCTTCTACCATTCATTTGTTCATTCACGTCATTTCTCCGCCCACTCCACCGGAGTTCGCCCAGAAACGCCGCGCCGCGCCCAGAAACGCCGCGCGCCGCAAGCCCGTTCCGCAAGATGATCGAGACCAGGCCGGGGAGTTTGGCCAAGTGGTGCCAGTTTCGGTGCCAGATGCCATGGTTTTCCAGTTCTTTTTTTGGGGGGGGGTTGGATCTATCATGATCTGTCATACCACTGCGCAGTGCTGGGGTCCGAGTTTTCTCTGTGGGCTCAAGGGTTGTTGCTTGGTTGCCGAGCTTGGCCTCTTGGGGCCTTCTGGGGGTCCAATGTGTCTAAAAGTACTCTAGACCAAGCCCTTCTTTAGGGGTGCCCAGGGTGCCTCTTGGCAGCAATGAGAGTTATGCTACGAAGGCGACGAAGGCTACGATGGCAAGGCCCCGGATTGTAGGTAAGCAGGAAGCTCGCTGTAAGGACGGGTGAGGCAGTTGTTTTGCTTGGGCATCCCAAAAATGCCTGTGTGTCACCGTGTCAACTGATGCTGTTTTCTGCGCGGACTGCCCATTCTGCACCACCAGGTGCCAATTCCCAGTGGTCCTTCAGCAGCCCCAACGTGAAATCTTGACAAATCTTAGCCTCATGGGGCTTGCTGGATGTCCTTCAGCAGCCCTAGGCCTCATGCCCTCCCTGGATGTCTTGCAGAAAACGTGCACAGAGAACACCGAGCTCACCGTCACCGTGGGGTTTGCTCTGCGACCCACTGGGACCGTCGACTGGGATGTCGACTCTGAGAGCTTTGGTTCGAAGACATGTGGCAAGAAGGGGCACCAAGGAAGAAGGTTTTATCATGTTTGCCTATGGATCCACATACCTTCTCAGGAGACCATTGGACCCGACCCTGGCGCCTACATAAATAGTCTCCAATCACCATACCTGAGAAGGTATGACTGGATCCCTAGGGATTTTTGTAGAACTCACGTTCATCCTAGACCAGGGTGTCCCAGACCACTATAGGAACACACTATTCTCGGGATCTCCGGAGAGTCTGGGATGGTGCAGGTAGACGGTAAAAGACGCTACCATCCCGGCCCAAGTCCCGGCCCAACCCTACGGCGGAAGACGTGGACCTATTGGTGCAGCGACTTCGAAGGAACGACTCAAGCCATCGGCCCTTCACGCGTAGATGTGGCGACTCCATCGGTCCTGGATCCTCCCAGGAGTAGATGTTGAAGGGAAAGGGAGCTCATCCTACCAGAAAGAATGCCATGGTGACACCCCACCCCGGTTTTCTTGAAAACTTCTTTCCTCTGTACATCTTCCCTTTTGTACGATTTCTTGGGGAGGCGTTCTGGAGTTGTTTTTTCAAACCTCTTCCGCTCGGCAGGCAGGTGAGAAAGACGTCCAGGGAGTCAGTGGTGAAGGAGGCAGCGAGGGACAGAGGAGCTTTCGGAGGGACAGAGCTAGTCACCTAGTCCTTGCGGTCCATGTGGGGAGCATTACCCAGACGCTCGATGTATGCCATATGCCGATCAATTGACCCCCCCTGGCACCACCCCTGGCCTGATTGGCAGTCCTATGGCAGTCCCATGGGTCGTGTCTGGGTTACACTCCCTGGAAGCTCCTCATGGTTAAGCGGATGGCAAACGGCCCCGGTTTCGGAAGACGCAATCCGAAGACCAAACCCAGACACGACCTGGTTGGGACTGCCAGGACGGACTGCCGAGAAACGGCCAGGGGTGGTACCAGGCGGGTGTGGCTGGGGCGGCATATATATGGCAGTCCCATGGAGTGTCTGGGAAACATGTGGTGAACGCCACTTCCATCTTAGCTTCCAGGGAGAGTATGGTGTGCTGAGATTAACGGCAGTGCCGATTGAAACCGTTGACTCTTTGGTTGGACACAATAGGTGGAACAAGAGGGGGTCCGAGTTGGAAGTAAGTGATGAGGGATGATGAGGGCATCATGTGGTATATATGTACAAAAAATGCATATACTCCCCTGGGGCTCCAAGTACCTCCCCAGAAGGTATTTGGACCCTCTAAACCCACCCCAAACACCTTCTTAGAAGGTCCTTGGAGCCCTAGGGATAGTGTACCAGCACAAAGATCAGAAACTACCAGGAAGCCACGGCCTGGCGCGAGGGAGCGAGGCGTGTGTGTGTGCATGTGTGCTCGAGGTGCGTGCACCAGAACTTGTGGAGGTTCTACAACTTTTTGGCCGTAGCTCACATTGGTTGTTCTCTATTTCTCTATCGCTGGACTTTAGCCCAATACAAAGCACATAAAGCACATCGAAGTCAAGGTCCTGGTCACCAGTGGCGTCAGTTTTTCAAAACAGATGCTTGGCTTGGGCAACTGGTTCCCTTTCCGCCATTGAACATCAGTGAGCAGAGAGTAATACCACGTAAACCTATTTTTGGCTCCATCTTGTGCTTGCATGATGACGTCGCCGCAAAAACCGCTCGCCAGGCGGGTCATGCTCGTGGCCGAGTAGATTCACTTCAATCCTTCCTGAGATGTAAGGATAGCGGATGCTCTGGCTCCTTGGCACAGCAGATCTCCTGAGTACGAAAACTAACATGGATTCGGGTCGAATGGCGCTGTTGCTTTCGGGTTGTTCGGTGAAGACATGGTCCTTGAAATCAATGGAGCTGGGAAGCCTGGGGCCGGTGATGGTGGGTGTTTTTGCGGCCACGGCCCTCGATCGGACGAACCACTGTGGAGGAACCCTACAATGCCAAAGACATCGCTGGCGGACCTGAAATTGGGCTGCGGGTCAACTGCGCAGGAGTCAGACTGTGTTGTTCACGGCCAGGTGGACTGGTCGGGCTCCAGGTTTTGACCCACTTCAGGCTTCTATAGGGGACGATGTTTGACTTTCGGGTGGGGCGTTTTCGTTCAGAACGCTGGAACTGTATAGCCGCCCGACATCGACCAGTCGGGTCAACAGTCTGTCCAGACTTCGAACTAGTGGCCGCGTGAGCAAAACAAATACGACGACTGCGTCGCGTGATGTGGAACACTTTACCCAAGCCGCTCTAGAGAGAGGCTCGGCTCAACAGCTCCGCCATTCGGTTGGAGGCCATCGTTCTTAGGGTGGAGGCCATCGCTTCTAGGGTGGAGGCCATCGCTAGTAACTTGGAGGCCATTGCTACTAGGCTGGAGAGGCCCTTGCTATTAAATATAGGTTGGAGGCAGAAGGCTCGGCTTAGCAGCTGCGTTTGCAACTGAGGCAGTGGGCATCCTGAACGAGATGATAGTGGAGGCGCGAAAGAGAAAGAACAAAACCGGGCTACCTGGGTTGACCACAAAAAGTGAACTGAATAGAGACAACCTACCCTGGTTTGGGGATACGGGTTTTGACCCACAGCCATGTCTGAACTTGGATCGAAGTGGTGTTTTGGGTGGCCTCCCTAAAAGAAATAGTGAGTGATGTATTTAAAGCGTGTCCAATGTGATAAAGGGAATTCGGATGAATTCAGTTTCTATCCACTCTTGGGTTGATCTACCAAATATACCAAATCCTTCTTGCCCATGACACATCTTGCCCTGGAAGTTGGTACCCATCTTGCTTCTTTGAGTCGGGATGTCCGGGAAGGAAGTCCACCATTCGTGGTCCGGGCAGTCCATTCTCAACTTCAGCGACAGAGCTGTCAGAAGATCATGTGCGCATGCGGCAGTCTCACTCCAGATGTTCAGAATGTCGCAGAAAGAAGCAGGATCTACAGGATGTCGTTGGTGGAATCGATCGCTACACCATCAAAAATAACACGCTGCACGATCGTGTTGGTTTCGACCAGCCGAAGTGCTTCGACCAGCCAGCCGTTTCGAAATCGCGATCTCTCGGTCGAAACCGTTTTCGGTGGTCTTTTGGTCGCACGAGCGTCGAACTCGGAACTTATAAGGCGTTGTACTCGGAAACGAGACCTTCGTTCGCCAGGTGTCGCCGCCGATTCCACGGAAAGATGGAAAGATGGACTCGACTCTCCACGTTCCTTCTTGCAGGTATACCAAGTACCTTACCCAGACACTCCATGGGACTGCCATATACCGATCAATTGACCCCCCTGGCACCACCACCCCTGGCCTGATTGGCAGTCCCATGGGTCGTGTCTAGGTACCGATGGCAGTCCCATGGGTCGTGTCTAGGTACCGATGGCAGTCCCATGGGTCGTGTCTAGGTACCGATGGCAGTCCTATGGGTCGTGTCTGGGTACCGTGGATGGGCTTCATCCCGGTGGCCTTTTCGGGTTCCAACGCGTCAGACGTCCGTCCGAGCGACGCAGACCGAGGAACCCGAGGGACGAAGACCGGCTCACGCGGGCCCGAGCGGCCGAAGCAGAAGACAGGCCGAAGCGAACGGGATGACCTCAGTTTGGATGGAAATCACCCATCCGGGCAACGGAATGGTCCTGGACCCTTAGGGTTATATACGATATAGGTACAATATACTTAGAATGAAGGATGTGTTCAAGACCAGATTATACTGGGTCAGACTTGTATTAAACATATGAAGGATCAAGAGCAAGAGATGATGGAAGCACAATGCGTGGGAATGTTTTTGGATACTGTAGGTCACTGCGTGCTTAGGGGGGTATCGCAATCAGTCAATTCAATGAGTGCTGCTTCAAAATCATCTCTGGAAGCAGAGGTGCAAGAGCAGGAACTGTTGCTTTCGGAGACAGTTCGTTTAAGCACCTCCATAAGTATAGGGTAGGGTGATCCCAGTAAAACCCAGGTGATCCCTGTAACACAGTCAGTCGGGAAAGGATGATTGATCTTGAGATATTGGCCAACCAGGCCCCATCGTCCATTGGGCCTGGTAGATGGGATATGCCCCATCCACAAGTGGACCCGGTGTGGACGTTTCAGCCACTTCCATCGGCCATGTCGGCCATGTGGGGCATGTGGGGCACCACCTGTTGCTAAGCTGTACCAGATCCTCATTCGACCTAGCGATCCACGTACGGTGATGATGAACACTGTTGTGCCTGGTGTCAGGGTCCTGAGGTTCGGTATACTGGATGCCTAGCGTTGGGCCTCAGCATCGCGATGCCGTAGAAGACATGGTCCCCGCGATGCCGTAGACCGCAGGTCGGAGGTTGAGGGACACCAAAGAAAATCCAGAGGTTGAAGGACCCGACCCTTCGCCTATCCCACAGGTACCCAGTCAGGTCCTATTTACGGTCACAAAAAACCTCTCTTGGATCGTTTTCGTCCGCGAGGCTTTATCCGTCGTCGCATGAACGACTTCTTCCAGAGGATCCAGCGTGGCTCGGTTTATCGGGGGGGACGTCCTGCGGGGACGGAGGGAGATTTCATTGGGAATGGACATCCCCGGTCAGGACTCCTGGATCGAGTCTTCCCAATTGGTTCATCAAGCTGAGATTGAGCTCAGCTTGGGGACTTGAGCCGTTCGCCGTTCTCAAAGGGGGTATGGAGATCTGCCGAGATTTGCTTGGTGCGGTGTAACAAGATCAATACCACCCAGCTGCCTCCGAAGTCAGGGTCAGCTGGCTCTGATAGGTCTCCAGACAGGACACCCATTGGAAGCACTAGGACAGTCTGTGGCTTTTAACCCATGCAAAGCTACAGCTGGAACAAAAAAGCTCAATGTTCCACTTTGCAGAGCTATTCCAGGCTACAGTCAGTTAGTGTCTCTTACCTAAGTGAAAACAGTGCAGTATTTGCATGCTGGATAAGTGCAAATTTCACCACGTGCCACACCCAACCAGGTAGTCTCAGCCATGCTTTGAGGTGTTTGGAGGGTTTGTTCAGTTTCACCCAGACCGGGGGGCTTCGACTTCCTTCCTTCGTACGCCTTACTTCGTTTCTTAGCAGAGGGCCACAGAAGAAATCGACCACTTTTTTCCGTGGCTCCGTCCGCGGCTTATCTTCCGGTGGAGGAAGATCTATCGTGGTTTCCGCCTGGAGGAAGATCGGGTCAAAACAGCGACCTTTTTGGCTTTTTGGACGGATTCACGAAAGTAAAGAGCTTCTCTACGAGGGTTTTGGGACCTGTGAGGGTTGTACCTCGGAAAATGGGTAGATGCACCTGTTTTATGTTGAACAGAGTCCCATATTCTCGAGTACTTTGGAGGGTCCAGGTATACCTGGAACCGGTTTTGTTATAACCCTAGAACATGAGACATGACCCAAAGAAAACAGGTTCATAGCAAGTTGTGGGGACTGCTCACTTGCCTCTCAGTTGGGGTTGCTAAGAGATGCCCTTTCTTCTGCTCGTGATCCATGTGAGGGACGTTTCATGTGTGAGAGACTCAACACTTCTGGATTGCATATGGATTGATCTATCTAGCTGAACTCTCAGTTCGTACTCCTAAGAATCGGTAAAGATCTACCTTTTGGGTTGACAGACCACCCGCAATGTATTGTAAATAGTACCATTTTTTCGGAATCATGATTTAATATGTTGTTTAATCTGTCACGGTGAGGAGAAACATCAAGAAAAACCCTGTTTCATTGCCTGATCGGCGTCGTGGACACTGTTTCACGTCCACCACGGCCGAGGAGTGAAAGGCAGCAAGGCCGGGGGAGTCGAAGCGATTCACGCCGCCGCATTCAGCGGAAAGAGAGGAAGGTTGCTGCAGCTGTTTCAGCTTTTCGGGTCTGGTTTCGGCTCTTGTAGAACGAGTGTTGACGGTTGAGTGGGGTGTTAGGAGTTGGGGCAATCCTCAGGAAACCCGGGTTCCTAGGATGGGCAGCCTTCCCAGGAACAGACAGGTACAGTGAACATGAAGCACGAACACAATGGTCGACAAAGTGAGGGAGTCAGGGTAGAGCCGTGTAGGCCGGCGTCATGCCATGTCATGCCCCTTCTCCAAACAGGGTACAATGTTAGAACATGGGCAGTCCAAAAGCAAAGCAAGATCAGGTCGTTAAAGGAGCAAGCATCAATCCTTGAGGATCGCACGGCTGTGCCGCTGCTGCCTTGTCCCCCCACTTGTCTCCTTACCTGTCTCCCCACTTCTTGTTTGCCTGTGTGATGGCCGTGGTGCTGCTGCCTTGTCCCCCTACGTGTCTCACTGGCTCGCTGGGAAGAGGTTGCATGAAGTTGCGCGTGTCCGCCTACTCCTTCGACCAACTGGACTTGGTCGAAGCCCTTCACAACTACGCAGGAAGAGTGAAGGTCCTGGCAGACATCTCACGGACCAGCGGACGCACGAAGTTGCAGTACCAGTCGCTCATAGAGGTTGGAGCGGGCTGGAGTCGGCGTTCGACTCGGCCGCGGTCAGTCTTTCTGTGAGGCGTACGCGAACGACGGGCGAGGATCCATGCGTGGGAGGACTCTGTGGCAGGGCCAGACTGCAGGTCATGAAGCTGCAACACGTGACCTGTCCAGCCACCATGCAGGTGCAACGAGAGTCTTGAAGTCTTTGGCCGCCGAAACGCCTCCCAAAGGTCTTGCGCAGCATGAAGGCCCTCTCAGGGTGAAGTGGTGGCTGAGATCTATGTGAAGAAGAACCAACGCACCCTCCGATTTGGCAATCTGACCTGTACGAGACGCCTCGGCCATCTCGAGGTGTACCATGGAATGGCCTTCAGGCTCCTATTCCAGTGCCCACCGAGCTCCACAGGCTTCGATGGATGCTATGCCCTTCGGCCGGCTTTGTCACCAATGGCGGATCAAGAGCTTCTATCTGATACACGAAGACGAGGTAATCTTCCCTGCGCCTAGAATCTTGGATAGGAAGTCCAGGAAGACGTATGAAGCTCCCACCTCAACCGCGAGCTCCGGCTGGCAGTGTTCCCGCCTGACCTCAACCACGAGCTTCGGCTGGCAGTGTTCCCCCCCCGGACCTCAACCGCAAGTGCCAGATCACAGTGGGCACTAACGGGCCTCAACACACAACAGACAATACACAACCACACAACGTGACCACAAGCACACAATACACAGCCACAACCACAAACAAAAAAACACAAACAAACAAATTACTTTACTTCGAAATTCCCCACCCTCAAAGAATTGGTTTTCACAAGAGAAAAGCGGTTCGGCGCGAAAAGGATTCTTTATTGAAAACAAAGCCACACATCGAGTACTTACTTGTGAGGTTTCTGAACTTCGATATTTTAATGCCTGGCAACCCCGCATCCCTGCCAAGTCAACTTGTGGTGGATATGCTGTGGAACTGGTACTTGGGAGCACTCTGGTGAATGTGCTGGTGTAAAGGCTACGCTGGGCTACTCGGGGCCACTCTGGTGGATGTGCTGTGTAAGGGCTACTCTGGGCCACTGTGGGCCACTCTGGTGGATGTGCTGTGTTCTTTGGGTTGCTCTGAGCTACGCTGGGACCACTCTGGTGGATGTGCAGAAGTAGCGAGTCTACTGAAGTCCAAAGTTCTTAAAATCTAACAGCCCCACAGTCCTACGGGTGGGGAAAAAACTGCTTTGATAAGTACATTACAAGTCTACAACTATCCTGCGATCTCTTTGGTAAATGTGCTGTGGAGAAGCTAAGTTGCGCTACTAAAAACTGTGGTTGCTGTGGACAAGCTAAGTTGAACTACTTAGAAATCAGTTTGTGAATGTGCTGTGGAAGAGCTAGGCAGCTAGGTTTAGCTACTCAGGGATCAGTTTGGTGAATGTGGTGTGAATACTCAGAGGTCATTTTGGTGAATGTGCTGTGGAAGTGCTACGTTGAATTACTCAGGGATTACTTTGGTGAACAGGGATCAGTTTGGCGAGCGTGCTGTGAAAGAGCCACTTTGGGCTACTCAGAGATCACCTTGGTGAACGTGCTGTGGAAAAGCTAGCTTGAATACTCAGGGATCACTCTGGGGAACGTGCTGTGGAAGAGCTACTTTGGGCTACTCCGGGATCTCTTTGGTGAACATGCTGTGGAAGTGCTGCGTTGAACTACTCAGGCATCACTTTGGTGAGTGTGCTATGGAAGAACTGCTTTGGGCTACTCTGTGATTACTTTGGCGAGTGTGGTGTGGAAGAGCTAAGTTGGGCTAGTCAGGGATTCCTTTGGTGAACGCGCTGTGAAAAAGCTACTTTGGGCTTCTCAAGGATTACTTTGTTCAACGTGCTGTGGAAGATCTAAGTTGGGCTACTCAGGGATTACTTTGGCGAGTGTGGTGTGGAAGAGCTAAGTTGGGCTAGTCAGGGATCCTTTGGTGAACGTGCTGTGGAAAAGCTACTTTGGGCTTCTCAAGGATTACTTTGGTCAACGTGCTGTGGAAGATCTAAGTTGGGCTACTCGCAGACTACTTTGGTGAGTGTGCTGTGGAAGGGCTAAGCTACTCAGGGGCCACTTTGGTGAGTGTGCTGTGGAAAAGCTAAGTTGGACTACTCAGAGACCACTTCGTGAGTGTGCTATAGAAGAGCTAAGTTGGGCGACCGGGCGTACTGAAGTCCGAAGTTCAAAAAAAACCTAACAACCGACAGGCCTATGGGTGAGAAAAACGCAGCTTTTGTTGGCTTGATAAGTACATTGCAACTCTACAACTACCTTGGAATCACTTTGGTAAATGTGCTGTGGAGAAGCTAAGTTGCGCTACTAAGAACTGTGGTTGCTGTGGAAGAGCTAAGATGAGCTACTTAGAAATCAGTTTGTGAATTTGCTGTGGAAAAGCTAGGTTTAGCTACTCAGGGATCAGATTGGTGAATGTGGTGTCAATACTTAGAGGTCATTTTGGTGAATGTGCTGTGGAAGTGCTACGTTGAACTACTCAGGGATTACTTTGGTGAACAGGGGCCACTTTGGTGAGTGCGCTGTGGAAGAGCTACTTTCGGCTACTCAGGGACCACTTTGGCCAGTGTGCTGTGGAAGAGCTAAGTTGCGCTACTCAGGGGCCACTTTGGCCAGTGTGCTGTGGAAGAGCTAAGTTGCGCTACTCAGGGGCCACTTTGGCCAGTGTGCTGTGGAAGAGCTAAGCTGGGCTACTTAGGGACCACTTTGGCCAGTGTGCTGTGGAAGAGCTACTTTGGGCTACTCAGGGACCACTTTGGTGAGTGTGGTGTGGAAGAGCTACTGTTGGCTACTCAGGGACCACTTTGGCCAGTGTGCTGTGGAAGAGCTAAGTTGCGCTACTCAGGGACCACTTTGGCCAGTGTGCTGTGGAAGAGCTAAATTGCGCTACTCAGGGACCACTTTGGCCAGTGTGCTATGGAAGATCTAAGTTGGGCTACTCAGGGACCACTTTGGTGAGTGTGCTGTGGAAGAGCTAAGTTGGGCTTCTCAGGGACCACTTTGGCCAGTGTGCTGTGGAAAAGCTAAGTTGCGCTAGTCAGGGACCTCTTTGGCCAGTGTGCTGTGGAAGAGCTAAGTTGCGCTACTTAGGGACCACTTTGTCCAGTGTGCTGTGGAAGATCTAAGTTGGGCTATTCAGGGACCACTTTGGCCAGTATGCTGTGGAAGAGCTAAGTTGCGCTACTCAGGGACCACTTTGGCCAGTGTGCTGTGGAAAAGCTAAGTTGCGCTAGTCAGGGACCTCTTTGGCCAGTGTGCTATGGAAGATCTAAGTTGGGCTACTCAGGGACCACTTTGGTGAGTGTGCTATGGAAGAGCTAAGTTGGGCTACTCAGGGACCACTTTGGCCAGTGTGCTGTGGAAGAGCTACTTTGGGCTAGTCAGGGACCACTTTGGTGAGTGTGCTGTGCCACTTTGGCCAATGTGCTATGGAAGAGCTAAGTTGCGCTACTCAGGGACCACTTTGGCCAGTGTGTTGTGGAAGAGCTAAGTTGGGCTACCGGGCGTGCTGAAGTCCAAAGTTCAAAAAATCTAACAACCCCTCAGTCCTACGGGTGGGGAAAAATCTGAGCGTCCACGCGCAAGTTGTGAAGTGCTCTGCCAGCAGCTTCGCCCGCGCCAACGGCAACAGCCGCCACCGAAAAAAACAACAACAACGGCTTGATAAGTACATTACAACTCTACAACTATCCTGGGATCACTTCGATAAATGTGCTGTGGAAGAGCTACGTTGCGCTACTCAGGGATCACTTTGGCCAGTGTGCTGTGGAAGAGCTAAGTTGCGCTACTCAGGGATCACTTTGGCCAGTGTGCTGTGGAAGAGCTACGTTGCGCTACTCAGGGATCACTTTGGCCAGTGTGCTGTGGAAGAGCTAAGTTGCGCTACTCAGGGATCACTTTGGCCAGTGTGCTGTGGAAGAACTAAGTTGCGCTACTCAGGGATCACTTTGGCCAGTGTGCTGTGGAAGAGCTAAGTTGCGCTACTCAGGGATCACTTTGGCCAGTGTGCTGTGGAAGAGTTAAGTTGCGCTACTCAGGGATCACTTTGGCCAGTGTGCTGTGGAAGAGCTAAGTTGCGCTACTCAGGGGTCACTTTGGCCAGTGTGCTGTGGAAGAGCGAAGTTGGGCTACCGGGCGTACTGAAGTCCAAAGTTCTAAAAATCTAACAACCCCACAGTCCTACGGGTGGGGAACAAACAAACAAACAAACAAACAAACAAACAAACAAAAACAATCAATGCACAAGCACAACCACAAACAAACAACCGCGAACACAAGGACAAACACAACCACAGACACAATCACAAACAGAAAACCACAAACACAACAACTAACACAATCACAAGCACAATCAGAAACACACAGCGACAAACACACAACCAACTGGAGATCCTGGCGACACGGTGGCACTTTTGGATGCCAACTGCGAGACCCTGGCGACACCCCGACGCGAACTCCTTTACATTAAGATAACCTTTCAAAAGTCCCAAAGCCGAGGACCACAAACAAAATTCCAAAACCACAAAGCCAACGACCATGGCAACCTGCTCCTCACCATGCATCAAAACAAATGATTGAAATGCCATGGTGGGGGTGACTCGAAGTAACGTAATCAATTTTCTTGCACCACCTGAAGCATTTTAAAAGGATCGTGACCTTCCGTCAGACCACTTTAAAAAAATAATCGACGACTGGACTTGGAGGGGCTATCTCTATAGCACCGGTTGGGGTCGCCTTCTCAGGAGCGGCACCCGCTCCAGCACCTGGCGCTCAAGAAAGTCTCCAGCCGGCCCTTCTTCCTCCCTTTCGCCTGGAGCAACTCAATTCCAACACGTTCAGGGGTTGCTGCCTTTTTGAAGGAAAACCATATTAAGGGGGGCCTTCTATTTGCTTGTGACTTTGAGTTGTGACCGATTTTCTCCTTCGCCTTCCAGGTGGTTCCAATGGCTTCGAAGGCGAAGAAACACACAACACGCACTTTTGGGCAAACGGGGCGTGGCGTCCACTGGACTTTCCGTTTGTACCTTGGAAAAGGCATCGTATCAGTGCCAACTAACACCCGACTCTACAGGTCTCCAAAATGGAGACTTAAAAGTGGCAGGCGGTGACCTGGCAGTGAGGGTGCTGGTACCTGCATGTGTTCCTGAATTTAGGTTCATGTCTCACGTTCAAAAGTATTTTGAAGACTTCTATCGAGATCTCCCATGGGTTACAGACCCCCCAACGGACATGGAATTGGAGTGTCAAATCCGTTCTGTTTGAGATCCTTAGGCCCTAGGCCCTAGTGATGGTAATAAGAACAGTTTCTAGGTTGAATGTCTTGAGTGTTTGCCACATAACGAAGGACTGACACCAATGGTTTTAATTTGATGGTTTAAACATTTACATTCATAAAAAAGGACTGTAGTTATTGTATGTGTATCCTGTCGAGAAAACTAAACTTATGCCATCTCGTTCGGCGGGGTACTGGCACTGTGCGCATACAAGGGAATCGTTAATCAGGTCATATTGCCATGCAGGAAGTATTATCCGGCATGAAGAACACCTCAACATGACGATCCAAGTGTTTGCAGTTGTTGTGTGTTTGGATGTATTCATAGGAACTATGAACATTATGTATGATTTGTTTGCGCACTTGAGCAAGATCAGAGATGCCGAACAGATGGTACTCTACCATCAGCGCCTTAACCATGATGTGGGCAGCCCATGGTGGTTCGGTGGTTCACGACGGCCCATGCCTGTTGCATGAGTCAACGTGAACTCCGTTTTTCTTCTGCCTTATGCAACAATGTGAGGTAATTACGTATCCGTATACTGTTGTTTGAAACCCAACAGAGGATCCAATACGATAAACTCTTCACCTTAACGTGCTCCCAGCGTGGCATTGCTTGAGCATTGGCCCTCCCTACATGAAGAAATTCAAGTACAGTGTTCCTGAAGGAATCAAGACCTCAGAACCGGTCCTCGCCTGTCGTCATCCTTTTTATGGTAATTGTAGGCTCTTGGATGAATAACACGCTCCTCAGACATGGATTGCACAACCTCTTCAGGCCTGGGGGGTTCGAATATCATCAAGAGTCTACCTGTACCATCCCAGACCTGGGCGTCCTGGCATGTTCAATCCCGGATAGTAGTGTGGGTAGTGCCAGGACACCCCGGTCCAGGATGGTCCTGGTATACATGGGTGTATATAAAATAGGGAGACGTCCCAGAGAAGACCCCGTGGGTGCGGGAGGTGCGGGAAAAGACACTCTCCATAGATAGGTCGTTTCAAGTGCTTTTGGATGTTTTTGGACTGGAAGGTTTGGGCATGGAGCAGTTTCTGCTCGAAAGATGAGTTGGTTTCCCACCGCCACTGAAACCCATTTCAGGTGCGGATTGGATGCCCTGAACTTCAATAGTTAGAATCCCGAACAACCAGTGTTTTTTGCGTTGTTTTTAAACACAAAACAAAGTCAACCTTTATCTTTTCATGCTTTTGCAAGGCCATTGAACATACGTCAGGTGATGGTTTTGGGTCTTGAACCACCCGAACTGTTCCAGTGGGACTGGGGGTACATGGGGGTAAGGTGTTTTGCTTGGATTTTCCTTTCGGGTTGATCTCCTGGCGCCTAATTCGCTCGTGGCGGGCGATCAGGCCGATCCAGGCGAAAGCTGCGGGCTGGTTGCTGTCGGGCTGCGTGTATTGACCAACACCCCACAGAATTACCCCAGGTAGTAGGTGTTTATATTTGCTGGGTAGATGTTTCAAGCTGTGATCAAGCTCTCCAACGGGGTCGTGCGGGGGAGCTCGTGCGGGGCAGCTCGTGAAACATGGTCCAAGAGAGAGCGAAAGACTTCCTACCCAAGAGCCATGTACGGGTGCATGGTTTCAGAGGTTCGATGGCACTGGCAGAAGTCGACAGAGGGGGGTCCACGGCTGAACCACTCATGCTTGGTGGTGACCAGTGCCGAACGTCTGATTACCAGATGACTTGTTGAGGCTTTGTGGGGAGATGGATGGAGATGGGGATTGCCACAAACAAGTCTACGGCACTCCGGAAGGAACGCGTCATAGCTACACGTCTAGCTACAAACGGGTGAGCTTGGGGGGGGGTAGTCTAAACATGAGCAGCTCGTCCACTCGTTCCCGGGGAAGCAGCTCGGCGCTTTTTGTGACGTCAACGAAAGTGCCCAGGAGACCCGCCCACGTTCACACATCACATGCGTATCATCACAAGTGGACCATGGAGCCTCAGACCATGTTTGGAACTGCAGATGTTTTTCCACTGTTAGTGCGTCAGAGTGCAAATAAGACATCAACATCGAACAGAGTCTGAAGCTGTTGGTATTCGGAACATGGTCAAGGCATTGACCAGCACGGCGCCCATCCAAAGTTGTACGACCGCGACACAGGTCTAGCTGCTGAGGCCACCGTGCGACTGGGAGAAGGGCGGGCCCGGGGGAAGAAAAGGGCAAGTAATAGTTAACCCTAGGGCTCCAAGGACCTTCTAAGAAGGTGTTTGGGGTGGGTTTAGAGAGTCCAAATACCTTCTGGGGAGGTACGACTGGAGCCCTAGGGTAAGGAAACCCGGTTTGATTGTCGTGCGAGGTTTGGCGCGTAAGCTAAGAAGACGCAGAGTAGAAGGCAAGAAAGGAAGCAGGAGAAGGCCCTGAAGAGAAGTTGAAACAAGAATGCGACCCTCGTACTAACTAAGTTCTGATGGGATTGCCTGGGATTGCCATAATGTCTCATGAATTTGTCCCACCCAGACAACAATTGCACAACTGGGCACTATCTAGACTTCTTAGAATATTCTAAAATATATGATCAAGTTTCCAATTCAAAGTTCAACTTCAAAGCTTTTTCAGGGCCACCAGGCAACTAACTATATATACCTTGACCCTCCAAAAGGACTCTAGAACATGGGACATGACACGAACAAGAAACGATCTGTTATCACATTTTCTAAGATACCTAGAGAAAGTCAGGTACTTCCAACATGTTCAACCATCCAAACCACGCACCCCTCGATTCTGAATTCGCACCAGCTCGCCCACGCCCGATGTCTCGCTTTCCCCCTCCCGCCCCACCGACGACCGGCGCGCCACCGGCACGAGGGCAACGCCTTTGGATCCGTGGTCCCATTGCCCGCCAACCAGCCGGCCGTCCTGGAGCGAACGCCACACGCGAACGTCCTGGGGCAGTGCTTGGTGTTGGGGGAGGTGGATGTGCGAGGTGCGACAGCCGCAAGGAGGCGGAGGCGGAGTGCTAAGCAATGAGCGGAGTGGGTGGCGCTTTTGGGGTGAATTGAACGAGGTGTGAAGAAGCAGAAAAAAACATATATTAGTGTGATGTTGTTGAGTTTGTGGGTGGTTTGCTTCTTTTTTCGTTGGGAACTTCCGAGGCGACCCATCTGCGCTTCTTTCTTTTCGATCCACACATACCGAACCGGGTCGCGCACCGGTGAATCTGTGGAACCTCCAAGCTCGAGTGGCGGTGACCGGGTCGGTCCGGTTCCGAAGCAGTCTGGATCGATCCGGAGAGTTTGCTGTTCGGTTTCGGCGGCTTGGGAGGCTCAGACGGCGCGATTTGGGTCGCCAGATAGCGTAGACTCGACAGATGAACGGCGTAGACGTAGACCTCTCCGTTGGGATGGTTTGGAGGGGTGCACGTGAGTCTCCACGTGCATCTCCACGTGCAAATATCGTCCACCAGGGCCCCCCTGTTTGGGGTGGTAGACATGGACATCCCGAATCACCTCTAACAACCTATAATCGGACACCCCTTAGTAGGGGGCCCTGGCGCCATGAACCGTTTGTTGATGTTTTCCATCCAATCCATCTCTCTGGTCTCGCTCCGGTATTGTCTACGGCGCAGCGGAACCGAAGTTTCAACCTTTGATAGAAGTTCTATGAAGTTCTGGAAGCCTTTTGGGGGAAAGTGTAACTGGGCCAGGTCACCTCTTCATAGGGTCGAGTAGCTGACAGTTCTTATAGTGATCCCTATATAGATAGTGGCACGGTTTCCAAAATATGTTGAAAGGGATTTTACCATTCCATCTATTTGGGGAGTCTATAATGGGTGTGTGCTTTAAAATAGGGAGACTGCACCATCCCTCGGAAGGTTCGGGAAATAGACCAGTCTACCCCGCCAGGGGCGAGAAAGGTTGTCTCCCCTTGAATACACACTTAAGATTTTGCGTACTGATTTGGTTGCGGTTTGCCACACGCCAGCCTAAGTGAAAAACCTAAGAAACCAGGACTGGGGTAAGTACGGTGGTCCAAACTTCCTCAAAACCTGCCTCCAACTTCAAATCGACACATCCAAAGCGACAATGCACATCTGCCGATGATGAACCGGTGCAAAGGCTGGACGTCCTGTTCTAGCTACAAGCAGGGCCCACGATGAAATTTCTCAAGTAAAACTGCAGCTAATCAGGCCAGATATCAGCACGGAACTTGACCCTCTTCGTTGGATCACCAGTCAAGTCCGTGGGTGATGCCCCTCTTTTACTGGCAGTCAAACCTAACAATCCAACAGGAACCTTGTGACTCCAAAGGTTACACTCTGACATTGGCTTTCAGTTATGCAATTCCCAGGTGGAAAGAAGGTGAGAGAACGGCAAGGTGAAGGAGTCCGCAGAAAAGTATTGTTTAACAGTTTCTCAACAAGCTCAAGTGAAAGCGCCGAGCAGCAGCTGCAGAGCGGAGGGAAACCTGTTTGGGGGTGGTAGCATGAAAGACCATGGAATCACACCGATCAAATCAGACAGCTTGGTCAAAAGGTCATCGCAGGTACAAGAGTTGGCGTCCCAACTCTCCTCCAACTGATTTCCGTAGCTTCGTTGGCACGGATGGGAAATCAGTCTCCGTGCCCCCTGCTTGAGAGTGAAAACCAAAAAGGAAGGGGAGGACCCTTAGAGACAGGCTTGACACACACACACACACTCCAAAGGTTGAATACACACCCATGGCCCTGGTTCATATGCGGGACAAATGAACAGAAGAATGGTCAAAACCACCATGGGTTATATCAAAGCCTCTCCGTGGAACGAACGCACCCATGACCCGTCTCGCTACGCGGCAAGTTGTTCGATCTGACATCGTCCACGATCGGCCGCTGGTCGACCGCCTTCCGCCCGCCCTCCAGGAGACAGCGGACCGTCGGCATACCTTGCGTTAAGGACCCTGCCCGCCCGCGGCAGCCATTTCGACCTGCCTCGAGGGCCTCGGAGACGAGTGTTCATGAATTGGAAGCTTTGGAGAGCTTTCGTAAGGAATCCGAAGCCTCAAATGGCTGCGCCCAGAGTGGAAGAGCGCCCAGTTGACTTCACTCTAGGGTCATTTGAGGTCATTTTTTTTCATGGCATGCGAGTCCGAAAAGGACAATAAGATCAATATGTGAAGTTCCATTCGGAAGGATGCCATTTGAACCCCCAAACCCAAGTTTAGAGAGTTTGGAGATAGGATGAGATAGGTAAAGAGTAATGTGTCCTTTGAAACCGGAAACTGCTTGCATCTCCGGCATCGAAACTGCCAGTCTTCCACAGTCTTCCAGTCCAGTTCAACTTTTGTTGGGACCACTGAATTAACAGACATTCACAGACATTCACGTATCAATGAGATCCATTCATTTGCATCCAGTTTGGCATCCGAAAAGCACGAGGCGAGACCGACCTAAGAACGAACGTGTTGCGGTCACGATATGTCACGATGGTTCGGGACTGAAGTGGTCAAGTTCCGGTCACCGATTTTGAACATGCGAAAGACCTTAAAACTGGACTCCCAATGGCAATCGTTGGAGTCAACTGCCTTGAAGGCAAACAAAACAGATCGACAAAACGGATGAAAATCCGATGAAGATGCATCCGATGTCTCTAACATCTAGAACTGGATTTGTTCACCTATATTAGATCCTAATAGAAGAAGAAATCCCTCAGCTAGAAACGTCCCCAAGAAGAACTGAGCTTTGAGTGAGATTGCACACTTCATGTATAGATGACGCGTCATGTATAGTTGATGTCTAGGAGCACTTATCCAAGACTGGAATTGTCATGTAAAGACTTGCATCATCGGTAATCGGCTTTGCCGTTTGCACTGTGTCACTGGACGCCACTGATTTGGCTCAAGGACTTTGGGAAAACAGACCGTGCCGCGACCGAAAGGATTCGATCGCGATTGTGTCGGCCTACTACGTATAGACCAAGGTTCTCGAACTTATCTGGTTATCAGCCGCAAGAGCTACGAGGACGTGAAGAAACGAGACCATACACAAACATCAAGACAAGCTTGTCAAGAGAAACGGTGGCATTGTGTTGAAACTTCTTTCGAACACTTGTTGCCCCGCGCTTCCGAGCGCGATCCATGCCACCGCGTGAGCGCGAGCGTGAGCGCTCACGGAGACGACGTGGTCCCCGAGGAGGGGATCCGAACAGACCAAGTCAGCAATCGAGAAGGGAGCGTGGTCTCCCGACAGAAGACCGTGGAAGAGGTGCGGATCGAGATCAGCGTCGAGATCGCGGTGTTGAATACAGACGAGTTGCTCGTGGGCGTGGTCGAGCTCGCGACGCAAGTCGCGACAGCAGAGACTGGCCGAGGCACCGAGAGGTCTATCGTGCCAGGTCCCCGCGTCAGCCGCGGCATCCGCCGCCCCACGTTACGGAAACGTGGGAAACCCGGCGTGCACCGCCGAGGCCACCTAGCGAGACAGAGGAGGAGACCGAGTACGTTGAGCGTGGTCGAGACGAGAGATCGCGATCACGAGCTCGCGGAGAGTGGCGGCAGTTGTGGGTTTGGGTTCCTGAAAGCCCCGAGCCCGAGGAGGAGTCGGCTGACGACGACATCCCCGAAGAGGAGGTTGAGCTTGAGGGAGAATCTGTCGATACCGTGACAGGTGAGCCCAGAGAGCGCCTTGCTGAGGCCGTTGAACCTGCTCCTGAGGGTGCATCGGCCGTCGACTTTTCAGCGACCGAGGACTCGATCGCGAGACAGGCTACAGAGGAGGCCACTGAGCATTCGGTGTCGGCAGAACCGGAAACCCTTCGTGAACGAGCCCGTGAACTTCGCTCGAAGGCCCCCAGGCCGTCTACAAGCAAACCTTCGCCGTCAGTGAGCGAGGAACAGTTTGAGGAGAAACCGCCAGTTGAAGAGCGTGTCAAACCTCCACCAACCGCAACATCGGCTAAAGCCAAAGTACGAAAGGAGTCAAGTGAGACTGGAGACATTGTGCGTGAGCAGTCAGTGGTTGGTGCATTGAAGCGTGCCATTGTTCGTGACACGCCTTCGCGTCATCGCGAAGGTGAAGGCTCTTCTGGATCGGGCTTGAAAAGAGCTCTTGAGGAGCTTCCGGTTCCGCCTCCTGTTCCTACAAAGGAGGAAATTGAGCAGACAGAGGCTGCCAGGAAGCGTGAGATTCAAAGCTTGCCGACTCCACCTCCGGCGCCGAGAACACCTCCTGTGCCGGTGACTCGTGCCGCGTCGAAACCTCGTCTAACTGAAGAGGTCCGACCAGTGGTCCTCGCGCCGAGGCCAAAGAGAGACCAGCTCAGCCAGAGCAATCGGCACCGTCTCCGTCGGCTCGACCTCCCGAGCCACGAGGTGCGCCGCCGAATTGGCAAGACAAACCACTCGTGCTGCTGGACTTCCACAAAACCCTGAGTTTTCCGAACAACGACCCACCGGTTGCAGAGGCGACCGTACAGACATTGAGGACGGTCAAGGAGAAGGGATTCTCCATCGGCATCCTCAGTTTCGCCTCAAATAAGGCTACTCAGGAAGGTGTTGCAGCTGGTGTCGCTGAACTTGAGCGTCGACTTGGTTGGTCCTTTGACATTTTCGCGATTACGCGAACCAAGTTTTCCACAGACACCGAGCAGGGAGCATCGATTACCGGGCACATTGGAAGCAAAGCGAAGTTGGTCGCGCAGTTTGGCCCGATCGTCCACGTTGACGACCAAGGGTCACTGCTGAACGACGTGCGCACCCTCCAGCAGAACGTGCCGATCGGACACAAGACTCACTGCATTCGTGCTGCATTGTATCCGAGTGAGGCCTTGGTCCCACTTGAGAGAACGCTCAGGACGTTTCCGAGGACCAGTGAGCTGCCCACCGCCAGAGAGCTGGGCAGGATCTTCGGAACCAGGTGAGACGAGAAGGAGACGACCAGTGTGCTTGTGCATTGGTCGAGAGTGGGCATTGCGTCAGTGGTCGATAAACCCTTCTGCAAGAGCTACGTGTTGGGTTGAGGCTGGTGATACATTGCTGTTGAAGTTGGAGACATTGGTCAATAAACCTGTCTGCTAAGGCTACGAGTCGGGTTGAGGCCGTTGCTACAACATTGATCTTGTGTGGTCAGACATTGGTTGTGTTGAGGACAACCCATTGGTTGGTAGTTGAACATTGGTTAGTGTCAGTGGCCGAAGCTTGCGCTGCCTTCGCGTCTGATTCGCGTATCCACGCGACGGACGCGACTCGTCGACTGCGTCTCTACGCGTCCCACTGCCAAAAATCGCAGCTTTCAGCGCGTGGCAATAAACTCCGCGACAAACGTCGCGTGCCGGCAGTGAAAAGAGGAGGTGGTGCTGCTCAGTGTGTCGAGACAGTGTTGGTTGTTGGTTTTGAGCATTTGTGAACAAACGATTTGTAGTTAGTTGAGAGTCCTTCAACAGAGTCGGGTCGAGCTTTGAGTGTGTTGAGATTGAGTTGACAGATTGAGTTGAGAGTCGTTGCATTGCACCGGATAGTCGATGTCAAAACGGTCGCTTCCTGCAACACCCTTTCGTGTCATCGGTCCTGAAGGCTCCTACGAAACCTCGAGTTCATCCATTTCTCCGGAGACTGGGCTTGCGAGGATGGAGGGTGATTTGGGAACTGGTGGAGGACCCGGGCTCCAGGTGAGCGTGCCGGCCAAGGGAAACACAAAGGTTGCAGCGAGTCGTATGCGGACCCAGAGTTCTGAACCTTCCCAACCTTCTGGGGTACAAGGTGATCCATCGACTGTTCCTGGGGTGCATGTTTATGATCAGAGAACCCTCAACCACCTACAAGTACTCAACCAGCACAACATCGATCCAGAGACACTCGAAAGAATTGTTCAGGGTTACGTTCAATCGCAGTTGAACCATGCAGAACAGGTGATACAGCATGAACGACAACAACATCAACTTGAGCAGCAAAATGCAGCACTACAGTTGAGCCTTGAACATCAACAGATGAACCAACACATACAACAACAAGAAGCCAACATGGCACAACAAGCACATAGCAGAATCAGCCAGATCACAACAGAGGCACAAGCAGAAATACTCAGGCATCAGCAGATAGCAGAGCAAGCACAACGCGAGATACAACGCGTGACAGCTGCAGCAGAAGCTAGGTGTCAAGACCTTGCGCGAGAGAACGAAGCCCTTCGAGCTTCGCCTGTTGCAGGCTACTTTGATGCGTGTCCGTCGGAAGCCGGAAGAGCCCCGTCGATTGCTTCAGCCTCGCCATTGAATGTTGTTTACTGCCATGTGTGTGGGAATCAAAACGTCGTTGGTCGTGGTTGGTGTTGGAACTGCAAAAGTAGTCTTGAAGAGCCCGAGAATGGTACGGACCCTTTTGAACCATCTTCTCATGAAAGATATATGTACCCAGTGCCTGCGCGACCCTCTAGTGTCGCGACCATCAGGGAGCCAGTCAACATGCAAAGGAACATTGCGTCGCATGAAGGACCATCCCATGCAGAAGTTCCTCTTCCTCGAGCCCCTGGCGGTCCGGGACCGTATAGCATGCCGTGTGGTGCATTGCACGATGGTTCACATGTTCATCATCTTGGTGTTGATCCCAGGTTGGTCTATGGAATGTCGACCCCAAAGGCTGTTTCAGAGTCAGGGAGTGCTCCTGTTCCTGGTGTAGGATTTCAACGGGCCGTTCCGGCCATGCCATCGTTCCCAAGAGCTTCAATGGGACCGGCTTACCCACCAGGGGGGTACATCGGCACTATTCCAGAAGCACCTCCAGGTGTGTCATCATCAAGTCACCCACCAAACATCTCCATTGCGACACCTCGCAAGAAGGAGTCATCGGAGTCTGGTGGAGGATCAGAGAGCTCGGATGGTTCATCCGATGAAGGCTCAAGAATGCCGCCAGGCAACCCTCCTGAATCTTGGTTGCTTGACGGTGAAACCGAAGATAGCGTGTACAAAATCAAGCATTTGAGAAACATCTCAATCACCAAGTTGCCAACAGATGCAACATCTTGTAGAGAGTGGCGTGCTGCATTGCTTGCGTCAGTGTCGCGCATTGATCTCACTGCGCGTGATGTGTTGGTCAAGTATACCTCTCATTGTATGGATGCGGGACGAGGTCGCACTTTCAGGGCTACGCTCCAGA